TCGCCTTTTCTCTATGCCTCGTTGTCCATATCCGAGCAGACTCGAAGCCTTGCTAGATTTATCCAACAAGGTCTACCTGGTGCCTCTCCTTCCCAGGTTCAAACCCAGACTAGTCTCCATCACATCTTTTCAGAGAGGTAATTGGGATGTCCCAGAGAGAGCTAACTTGCAAAGTGAGTCTGGATATACAGCTACTGTCCTAGTGTAATGACAGGACCATGGGGCTTTTCTACCAGAAAGAGAAGGGCTCAGATCCAGGCTAAAATCTCAGAGAAGTCACTGTCCTTCTCCGAGCCTTGTTTTCTCCATCTACAAAATGAGCATGAAGCCAGGTTGGGGCCGTACTAGTAACGGCAGTTACGAGTCTGAGACCTAGAGGCAGATACTCCTGAGTTCCATTCATGGCTCTCCCGTGTGATTTGGGGAAAAAATTGTTGGACCCCTATATACCTCAGTTTTCTAATCTAGAAAATGGGGCTAATAGTAGTAGGTTGGTTGTGAGGACACAATGACACTATACATATAAAATACTTAGGATGGCCTCCTGTACCAAGTGAGCACCCAGTGGTTATTATAAGCACCAAGACTACCCGAGGTCCCCCAGGGCTCATCCAGATGGCACCTCAGCAGAGGCATTCTGGTCCTTCAGGACCATCTTCTCCTAATGCCATGTGCCTCTTGCAAAGTCATGGTCTAGCCCCTCTCTCCCACAGTTGCTGACAGATGCACCACTTCCCTTAGCTCTGAACTCCTCCCCAATCTTGCAAACCCCTTGCTGTCCCTTGAGGCAGCCCGTTTTCACCCCTTTCCTGGCTTAAGTCAGGGCCGAGGTCTTGTTTCGCATACATGTAATCGGCAATGACGATTTCTTGGCAACAAATAGATGATGGCGTTTGTAGTGCTGCTGAGTAAAGCTGCGTTCTCACTGGGTCTGATCTTCGCTTGAAGAAGTCCCCGCTCGCTCCCCTGCCAGGTGGGGAGCTGTCGGCCCTGCTGCAAACTCAGCCCCACACAGAAGGGGGTCAGTACCCCCTCCCCCACAGCATAGAGCCCGCAGTGTCCAATTTCGCCTGGGCGTGTACAGACTCAGGGTCCTAACTTCCCAGAATGAATCCAAGAGGTGGGGAGAGGGGGTAGAATTCACATATTGAAAGTTTTCCTAGTTTTATGAGGTTCTTTCTTTGGATGTACTAAAGTCATGCAATAAATGAAATTTTTTAATAAAGTCAAGTTCTTGCTTTTTGCTCTATTCTTAATTTTTTAATTTTTTAAAAAAATTGTTTTTATTTTTTGTTTTTTAAATTTTTATCAATTTCTATTCTTTTATGTTTATTTAATTTTGAGAGAGAGAGAGAGAGAGAGAGACAGAGGTGTGAGCGGGGGAGGGGCAGAAAGAGAGAGAGGGACACAGAATCCAAAGCAGGCTCCAGGCTCTGAGCCATCAGCACAGAGCCCGATGTGGGACTCGAACTTACGAAGTGGGAGATCGTGCATGACCTGAGCGAAAGTCCGATGCTTAACTGACTGAGCTGCCCAGGTGCCCCTTAAACAGTTTTAATTTTTCATATTTTTGGTGTGGGAAATATAGTGGGAGCAGCCTGTTACAGTGTTCAGGAGCAAGAATTACACTCCCTGGGTGTCCACCTCAGATTTTATTAGTAACCTCACTCAGGTTCCTCATCTCCAAGTTCTTTTCTTGTCTATAAATTGGGTGATAATAATAATTCTTCATAAAATTGTTAATACACATAAATGGCTAGAATATTGCCTGGCACATAACATTCATCAATTAATGTGAGCTACTAGTACTAGTTGTTACCTCAATGACAGAGTAACCAGATCTAAAATTAGATCCCCAACCCCCCCACCCCCGAACTAGTTTAAATCTCACCACTAAGTATGTTCTTGTAAGTTTCCTTTATTGGCTTTGTGTGTGTGTGTGTGTGTGTGTGTGTGTGTGTGTGTTCACATGTGTTACCGGCTAAATGCCAGGCCCTGTACCATGAGGTAGAAAGAGAGATGTAAAGATAGATCAGATCCCTGTTTCTCTGCAAGGGAAGAAAAAACAGATAACAAATATGTAAACAAAATGATTTGATATATGTGTCTTATGAAGCTCAAAATGCAAGATAACATGATGGAAAATCCATAGAGGGACAATTTTTGATCATGAAGGAGGCTCTTTTACACTGAGACCCAAATATAACAAATGAATTCTCATGTAAAAAACAAAACAAAACAAAACAAAAAAACAGGAGAATAGAAGACAGATGGGAAAAATATGAGTCATCAAGTACTTATCGGAATAATATCTATCCCACTAATGTAGACCATAGAGTGGGACAGTGGGCTGTTTTGGTAAGTAAAGGTTTATTGGGACACAGACACATCCATGTTTTTACCTGTCGTCTACACCGCATTCATGCTCCAGCTGCACAGTTGAGTAGTTGTGACAGAACCCAGATGGCCCGCCAATCTGAAGTGTCTACAACCATGCCCTTTATAGTAAAGCGTACCGACCCCTGGTCTAGATCACAGGACCCATGAGGGTTAAGGACCACATTCGGCCCGCCCTGCTGCTTCCCTCAACCAGAAGATCCCAGGAAATAGCTGGAGAGGAAGTAAATGCAGGACATGTTTGTCCCCGTGTGAATCTGCTTAGATTAAATGAAATCTCTTGAAATGATAGCTTCAGAGCACAGAGTTTTCCTTCAGGAGAACCTCGCTGGCTCCCACGTGTCCAGAGAAACAGTAACTAGAACTGGTGGCTCCGACAAGAGCCACACGTTTTATCTCCCCCGATGAGTTTCCCGCAAAGTGCTCAGACCAAGTCCGGTCCAGGCTGAGGCGCGGCGGCAGTTCTGTAGGATGCCAGCCGGTCTGGCAAAAATACGGAAGTGCGAGGAAATTGCCCTCTTCACCAGCTTTGAAGATAACTCACTGTGTGCATGATGTAAATTCAAAGCAGCATCCCCTCTGCCTGAAATGGGCCAGAATTTGCCAATCTGAGCATCATCAAGTTCTTGGGCCAGAGCAGTGTGTGCTGTGCATTGTAGAATGCTTTGCAGCATCCCTGGTCCCTTCCTGCCAGCTCAAGGTAGCTCCAGTCCTCCAGATTTGGCAATGGTGTCTCCGGACAGGGCTAAATGGCTCCAGAGGGTTACAGTGTGATGAGGGAGTGAGAGCACCCTCAGCTGAGAAGTACTGGCACCCACTGAAAGTGCCCTCCTCTTCCTGTTGCAACTTTTAGACTTGGACAGCAAATCTTCTCAAAAACGCGTGCTTAGAGAGCTGTATATTCCATATCTGATGCTCAGCTTTGCAATTCAAGCCACCCTGAATGTGTGTACTTTCACATTCACCAAGGTGGGGCGTAGGTGCCAGTTACAAATGACAATGTTGGGGGGCACCCGGGTGGCTCAGTCAGTTAAGCATCTGAATCTTGATCTTGGCTCAGGTCATGATCTCACAGATTCCTGAGTTTGCGCCTTGCACTCCCTCTCCCTCTCTCTGTCCCTGCCTTGCGCACATTCTCTCTCTCTCTCTCTCTCTCTCTCTCTCTCTCTCAGAATAAATAAACTTATTTTTTTAAACGACAATGTTGGCAGTTCGCAAAAACATCATGGAGGATAATTTTCTCTCCTAGGGGCATAAATGTTTTTTTAATTGTTAAATTTAATCTGAGGCTGCGAGTGAGTCCTGTGTCCTCTTTGGAGATGACGCGGTGTTCTGGTGGTTGTTTTAAAAACTCTCAGGGACAAATGCAGCTGGGGAGCTGTGATCCCTTTGCAGCTCCTAGATCAGGCATGTTAAGAAACCCTTGAGTTCTCTCTCTGCTTCTCATAAAACCTGACCTTAATCTACCTGCCGGCACATAGCTGTTGTTCCACAAACTCCAATACCAAGGGCAGATGCACACACGGAAGACCCAGGAGGTGAGCCCAGAAGGAAAGAGAGGAACAGGGGAGTAGCAAGGGTGGTATCTAGGTGAATCCTGCTTTTGCTTTGTTTTGTTTTTCCAACAAAAAAAAGCAAACATCATTAATATGACCTCCTGGGGAAGGAAAATTCTGACTAGTGCCATCTTGGTCTAATTGGACAATAAGCCTCACATCCATGATTCCTTAGGATGCTGTATATTTCCAAAATCAGTGGAATTTTTGATACAGTACACTTTATTATTATATATCAGATAATTTCTGCAATGATCTCCTAATGAAGAATAGATCATAGCTTGTAAACCAGCAACCTATAAATATATATTGTATATATAGCATATACGTATATAAAAATACATATATACAGGCATATATTTCACTCACATTTTGGTTTTAGCTGTGAATTATCAACTTTGTAAAAAAGAGAAGCTTCTCAGGGCACCTGGGTGCTCAGTCAGTTGAGCATCAACCAATCTTGATTTCGGCTCAGGTCATCATCCCAGAATTGTGGGATTGAGCCTTGCATTGGGCTTCCTCCTGAGTGTGGAGCCTGCTTGGGATTCTCTCTCTCCCTCCCTTTGTGCCTCCCCCCCACTCATGCTCTAGATAGATAGATATAGGTAGGTAGGTAGGTAGGTAGGTAGACAGACAGACAGACAGACAGACAGATAGAAATTTCTCATGAAAAAAGATGTGGATCCCTGGCTTCTCTTCAAAATCCAAAAGATGCCCCAACACCACCACACCTACCTCCTTGAATGGTGATGATCCACGGGAGGTGAACAGCATGGCGTGTGCTCCCCAGTTTACCACACTCCCCACCACCCCCCAGGATGGATCCTTGCCTAATTCCCACACTCAGGTTAGCTGCCTGGAACCCATGGGCAGTTTTGCTCACAGCTGTAAGTAGAGACTGATTTTATCTTTCTCTTTGGCCTCTTCAGCAGCCAGTCCAAGTCTCTTTTTTACTTTCAAATAAGTTTTCTCCAAATCTCTTTTTACTTTCAAATAAGTTTTCTCCAAATTTATTGCTTTTGTGAACGTATGCCCAACGAATCTTACCCAAATTTCTTAGTCCGGCCATTTTCTCCACTCGAATGTATCATATGTCACGTATGGCAGCATTTCCCCAAATGTACGCCATGAAACAACCTATATTATGTAGAGAAAATAAAAGAATACTGTGGTTGGATGAATTAAGCAAATGCTTAATTACATGTACACCATGTTAAGTCTCTTTAGCTGTACTTTTCAGAGCCTATAAAATGCAAAGATGTCTATGAGTTTCCAAGAGGGGGCAGGTATGTGAGCAAGTCCTAGTTAGCCATAGAACTTTGGAAAGCCGTGCTCTCTTATCATATTTGCTGATCTTTAAAAAAAAACTGTGTGTTCATAGTCTCCAATATTTTTGCTAACTGTTTCCAACCACAGATAAATTGCAGAGAAGGGAGGGCTAGACATGGGGTGGAGACCAATTTTTTCTCTTGCAAGCTAAGATCATTGAGAAGTAAAATGTAGCCATCATCAACACACACACCTTCGCATAGAAATCATTTTAATCACCCCAAAGTAGGAAAAACAGTAGCTCCCACTGTTTTTCAAGGCCCACCCTTTAAACTGAATACATTTGGCTTATAAAATGTGTGCTATGTTTCTCTTATTGCCTTTACTTCATTGAAGATCTGTAACAACTTTGTCACCGACTGTCACCAACGTGCAAAACTGAATTTGGGCAACATTGGTCTATGTTATGCTAAATCTGGCACCAATACCATCTCAAAAGCCACAGTGAAAATAGTTCACACATGAGGGGAGAGACAGTCAGCCTCCGAGGCAGGGTTTGTTGGGAGGATGTGGAAACACACTGAAGCAGAAGGCAGAGAAAATAAGCAAGTGGACTTGGCCTTGGAGTGGCTTTCACAGATTCCTTTCGCTGACCTGATCATCTCACATTGGGATTCCACTGGGGAGGTTTTGCAATCTTGCCTCCGCTGTGGGTGCTGCCCTTTGTGGCCTGGCACTGATGGGAACGGGGCAATGATCATGATGTCAAGTGAATGACCATAACAGTTGGGGTCAGAACAAAGACAAACAGAAGAGGTACTTCATGTGATGAGCCACTGTAGTCCACAGCCTTGAAAATAGGGTATTTAAACCATTTTGGGATGAAAGAAGTTGAGGATGCTTATGCTGAGTGTAAGGAGAAGCAGCATAAGGTACCAATACATCCCAATTATCCATTGTATCGATAAGTTTTGCCCTACGGCTAGTGGGTTGTTATTTCTTGCTGGAGCACATTTCTTGAGTTGTTCTAAGTAGATTTGGGAAAATCCTAGTGTATTTTATAAAGTCTCTCTCTCTCTCTTTGTGCCATTTGACCCTTAGCCAGTTGATTAGAATGATAAAACATAGAGCCTCCAAATAATCCATTTCTATTTTTAAGGACTTATTCCCTCCTTTTTATTGTTTTACAGATTGATTTCTCCTCAAGAGATCAGTAAATCCTTGAGGGCAGGAATGGAAACACACATATTAGGATCCTCATCGCCCAATGCCTACTAAGTCTTCACTAAATGTCTTGGCGAAAACCAGATGAATGTGAAGGAAGGTATTAAATGAAGACCAGAAGATGGTGTATTTCATTTTATTTTCATTTAGCACTTTTATTTTGAGGTAATGGTGAACTCCCGTGCAGTTGTAAGAAATGATTCAGAGAGCTCCCACGCACCCTGAACCCAATTTCCCCTAACTTAGTTCACATCTTGCCAAACTGTGGCACAATATCGCCACCCTGGCATTGACATTGATGCCCTCAAATAGAGAATGTTCCCATGTTCTCAACATTCCAAGGATCCGTCATGTAGCCATTTCTTTCCTGTTTCCAGGTAGAAATCCAGATTCCCCATTCTGTCTCTGTGGACACCAGCACAGGAGCGCTAAGATTCTTCATTCCTTCTGGATGAGCGTGGGATTTCTAGCTCCCCGCTGGGCTCTGATGACGCCGCAGGTGGAGGGATGGGTTGGCACCGGTGGGCAGTGGTGGTCGTCCTGTCTCTCCCTGGTGTGTCCCCTAATACCAACCAGGTGGGAGTATGGGGCACCTCATGACAGCCTCATGAAAGGGAAGGAGCAGCTTCCCATTAGCCTTTGCTGGTGGGAGTGAGGTTGGAGCCATATTTCTTTCTCTGGCCATTTAAGTGTCTTCCCTCTTATTAGGCTGCCCCTTTTATTTTTAATTTTTTTTTTTTTAATTTCTAGGAGAGAGAGAGAGACAGAGAGAGAGTGTGGGAGCAGGGAAGGATCAGAGAGAGAGGGAGTGACAGACTCTGAAACAGGCTCCAGGCTCTGAGCTGGCAGTCAGCACAGAGCCCGACGCGGGGCTCGAACCCATGAACTGCGAGATCATGACCTAAGTGAAAGTCGGACGCTTAACCGACTAAGCCACCCAGGCGCCCCATGGCTGCCCCTTTTTTGATACTTGGGCTAGAGAGAACAGCACTCTTCTGTGCACCTGTTGGCGTTGCTGGGTTTCTGGCTTCTTTGCCTCCCAGTGTGGGTTGCAGGATGTGAAAAGAAAACCCAGGAAACTTGCCACCACCTCATCCTTCAGTCCAGAGGCTCCTCGCTGCTCTGCCTTCTTCTCTTTGCTTTCTTCTCTTCAACTCTTAGTGTCTTCTTAATTTAGTTACATACACAATATCCAGGGTCTTTACTTGGAATAGGGAAAGTTACATATACTCTATCCTTCTGGAAAGGAAAGCCTTCACTTTACATTTACAAACGGAAACTTTTTTAAAAAAATCCTTGACTTATAATACATTTCAGTGTTATTCTTAAAGACTGTGTGCGGGTTTTATGTAAATGGACACTTATTCAAATATTATTTTACTTTTCATCCATCTACAAGCAGTTTCAATCAAAATCTAACTGGTGAGTCACGGGAACCCCATAGTCAATTTAATACATAATATAACTTCTATTTCAAAAACAAATTCCCACTCACCCTCACTTTCTTACACACGTGCATAAGATATACATATTTACATTTTCATGTATTACTTTTCCAATACCTAGCACCCCCCTCTTAGAGACAAATAATTTACTTTGAACTAACTTTCCAGAACATAAAAAAAGAAAGGTCAAAACCCTATAGTTAGAGAGACTTGTCTGGAGTTTCCTTCCACTCTGTTTAGCCACGGTTGACAAAACAAAATCCCCATGGGATATATTTCTGTAATTCTACTGTAAAAACATGCTTTTTCTTTTTCTTTTTCTTTTCCTTTTTAAAAGAAAGTTCACAAATGTAAGAAATCACTGAAGCCCTTTCAAAAAGCAGGAAGGCATTTTCTTTTTTATTTTTTTTACTTTTTTATTTTTTTTACAGATAGTTTATTGTCAAGTTGGTTTCCATATAACACCCAGTGGTCATCCCCACAAGTGCCCATCTCCATGCCCATCTCCCCACTCCGCCCCCCACACCCATGAGTCCTCAGTTTGTTCTCAGCATTCAAGAGTCTCTCATGGTTTGCCTCTCTCCCTTTCCCCCACCATTTCTCCCCTTCTTCTCCCCCTTGGTCCTCCGTTAAGTTCCTCCCAATCCTGCTATACGTGCAAACATATGATATTTGTCCTTTTCTGCCTGACTTATTTCGCTCAGCATACCACCCTCAAGGTCCATCCATGTTGCTACACATGGCCAGATTTCATTCTTTCTCATTGCCATGTAGTATTCCATAGTATAAATAAACCACATCTTCTTAATCCATTCATCAGTTGATGGACACTTAGGCTCTTTCCATGTTTTAGCTATTGTAGAAAGTGCTGCTAAGAACATTGGGGTACATGTGCTCCTATGCATCAGCATTTCTGGATCCCTTGGGTAAATTCCTAGCAGTGCTATTGCTGGGCCATAGGGGAGTTCTATTGTTAATTTTTTTGAAGAACCTCCACACGGTTTTCCAGAGGGGCTGTACCAGTTTACATTCCCACCAACAGTGTAGGAGGGTGCCCGTATCCACAGCTTCTCCAGCATCTAGAGTTCTCTGATTTGCTCATTTTAGCCACTCTGATTGGTGTGAGGATTTTCAAAACAGATCCATATTGATGCTCTCTCATTTAGGAAATAATTTTATGTGAGCACACAGGTATCTAGCATGTGTGATGTTTGGATTTGCCAGACTTTGGGGTAAATAGTGAGAAATAATGATGGTGAAGGAACCCTTAAACCAAAGGTGTTTTGATCGTCCTCACTCCCTGGCCAGGCCCTGGACCTGACCATTCCTTTGGCTGTTGAGAGGGCAGGGTCTACTGACTGTCAAAGAAAAATACAGAGCTCACAACATGAGAACTAGAAGTCATTAACGCCATGAAATTTATATAGCAGTTGCAGAATGTCATAGACAAAAAGTGAAGCCCGAGGGTTATGACAAGAAATTGGGGGCTGAAAATCCCCAATTAATCATAATCATAAAAATTACATTCTAAATCCTCAATTACTAGAAACCTATCTCTTAGTGTCATCAGATTAACCAGAAACAACAGATTTCCCGTATAACGCATGCACACATATATACATCATTCTTTTTTTTTAAATTTCTAAGACACATCCTAGATCAACCTAATTCCCAGCTCAGTCAACACCATACAAGGTCACATTCTCTGCTACAGACCGTATTTACCACGGTTCTAAGGAAGGGCCTGTTGTATCTTGAAGGATGTTTCTTAAGAGTTGAATCAAACTGACAATCCTCTTCTGAGGAACCTCCTCTAACTTTTCATCTCTACAGACCTACTGTGTGCAACAGATTTCCTTGCACATACACGTCTCATGGAATTTATTATTTGAGTTGCTTGAGGGCAGAGGGAGACTGTTATACTTAACGTGACATGCCCAAAACCTAACACAATGCCTGACCTATTGCTAGTGTATAATTCTGGAAGAAACAAATGAACCTTCTATCAGCTGGTATCATTTAGAAAATTCAAAACAAAAACAAAAACATAAAACCTTTAAGAGGCAATTAAAATCATATGACCAAAGTGAAGAATGACAGGCAAACCACGGTTGCCATGTTTTTCCAAATAGATACTGGAAAGGTAGAAACAATCCAAACCATTAACAGGTGAATAGACAAATTAAATGTAGGA